TCTTCTACCTTTCTTTGCATATAGTCGCTTGCAAATTTAGCCTAAAAAAATTTTCAGAATGTAACCGTGTAAGTGTTTTCCGGCCGATTTCAAAATTTCTAACTTCTTTTAACCTCATTTGTTAAGCATTTTATTCATTAAAAAATTTATGACTTTCCCCGGAAATTTGTGGCGTTTTTGACCATTTTTTCTTTCGAGAGTAGAATTTAGACGCTAAACTTCCTCGTTATTGGATGTTTAAACATTTTTTTGTACGATTTTTTGCTTCAAAATTTTGCATCAAAAATGCTTCAAAAATTAACCGTGTGCGCGTTTTCCGGCCGATCGCAAAACTTATTTACTCACTTTATAGACATTTTATTCCTCTACACAATACTGCTAAATCCCCTCAAAAACTCTCAAAATTAACTGAGTTGGGAGCAAAAGTGCACTGGTCGCCCTTTTCGAAAACCTCAATTTTCTAAGTTTCTTTGCATTAAGCTGCCGGAAAGTTTCAGAAGATCAAAAAGACCACTCAAAACCCAAAACTCTTCAAAATGATACCAAAGACCGCTCGTTTATCCCTTATTTTGTGGCATAACTCTGCAGTTTTTTATTCAATTAAAAAAAAAATTACGCCGTCTTTTCGGTCTCTGAAGGCTCTATAAAACTCAGTTATTATGAGCTCAAATTATTCAACATTAACCGAGTAACAAGCAAAAGTAGGCAGCGGTGCAATGGTCGCCCTTTTTCAAAAGTTTCTTACTTACAACCCGACTTGGTCGAAAACCTTGAAAAAATGAAAACTTTTTTAAAAAGTTTTTATGCAGGATTTCTTGGTGAACAAATTTGATTCCTCAAAATCACATCATGACTTGTTTTTGAAAATTTCGATGTTTTTAATTTTCTTTTGAATCAAGATAAAAAAACTTGCACATAATTTGACATTTTCTTCGGTTTGATTTTTATGCTTGAAAATTTAGCCGTAAAAATCGTTCAAAATGTAACCGGGTGAATGTTTTCCGGCCGATTGTAAAACTTCTAACCTCATCTAGTAGGCATTATATTCCTCTACACAGAGTTCTTTTTGTTCCTTTAAAACTCCCAACATGGCCAAAAGTGCACTGGCCGCCCTGTTCCAAATACTCCAATTTTCTAATTTTCTCTAAATCGAGTTGCTTGAAAATTTAGATAAAATAATCCTTCAAACTGCATCGGTGTGCGTATTTTCCGGCCGATTGCAAAACTTCTATCCTCACATTGTAGGCTGTTCATTCTTCTACACAATGCTGTTTCTGTCCCGTGGAAACTGTCAAAATTAACTGAGTTAGAATCAAAAGTGCACTGGTCGCCCTTTTCCAACTACTCCAATTTTCTAAGTTTCTCTGTTAGTATTTAAAATTCTTCAAGATGTAACAGTCTGAGTGTTCTCCGGTCGATTGCAAAACTTTTCACCTCAGTTTTTAGGAATTTTATTTCCCTACATAGTGTTGTTTCTGCTCGATAAAAGTTTTCAAAATTAACCAAATTGCTAGCAAAAGTGGCACTGGCCACCCTTTTCCAAAAAAACCATGGGAAAAAGCATGGCAATCTTCCAACTTTCTCTGCATATGGTCGCTTGCAAATTTAGCCTCAAACAATTTTTAGAATGTAACCGTGTAAGTGTTTTAGGCCGATTTCAAAACGACCAAACTCATTTTTTAGGCACTTCATTCCTCAACCCAACGCTGTTTCAAAAAAACTCAAAATATTTTCAATTAAAATGACTGTAACTTGTCGAGTTTTGGCGCACTACAATTAAATAGTGTTTTCCGGTCGATTGCAAAACTTCTAACCTCAGTTTTTAGGCATTTTACAGCCCTACATATTGTTGTTTCTGCCCCTAAAAAAATTTTAAAATTAACATAGTTACAAGGAAAAGTGCACTGGTCGCCCTTTATCGTTACTTGCAACCAAATTTGCTCGAAAATTTTGGAAAAAAAGGAAACTTTAAAGAGATTGATTGAGTTTTTCAGCAATAATTTGTAATGAAAAAAATTGGAGCCTCGAAATCACAATTTGACAGGTTTTTGAAAATGTCATCTTTTCTGTTTCCTTTTAAATTTAAATGCAAAAACTACTCATCAATTGGTAAATAGAAATTTTTTCTGTTTGTATTATTTGCTTCAAATTTTTTTTTAAATGTAATCGTGTGAGTGTTTTTCGGCCGATTGCAAAATTTATAACCTAATTTTTTAGGCAGTTTATTCCTGTACACAGCGCTGTTTCTACTCCTAAAAAATTGTCAAATTGAATTGAGTTACGAGTAAAAATGCGCTGGTCGCTCTTTTCCAAAAACTCCAATTTTCCAAGTTTCTCTGCATGTAGTTGCTTGAACTTTAGCCTACAAAATCTCCAAAATGTTACCGCTTGAACGTTTTCTGGCCCATTTCAAAACTTCTAACCTCATTTGTTAGGCTTTTGATTCATATAAAAGTTTCTGATTTCGCCCGGAAATTTGTCGCATTTGCACCATTTTCTCTGCTTCAAAAATGTTGTCTCTTAATTTTTTTGTACATTTTTCAGGCCGTTCATTCCTCTACACAACGCTGTTTTCGCTTCTCAAGAATTCTCAAAATTAACGCAGATATGAGCAAAAGTGCGTTGGCCGCCCTTTTCCAAAAAGTTCAGTTTTTCTGCATATAGTTGCTTTGAAACAACTCTAATCTCATTTTTAATGCATTTCATTTTTCTACCAAACGCGTTTCTCTGCTAAAGATTCTCAAAACTTAACTGAGCTACGTGTAAAAGTGGGCTGGACGCCCTTTCCAAAAAACGCCAATTTTTCAAGTTTTCCTCCAAGAGTTG